GCATAAATTACATCAGTCTATCTCCATTGTCTTTTGAAGCATGTTCTATCTTTTCCCTGCGTGAGAAAAATGAGACACGGGGCATCACACAGTAAGTGGTAGAGTTAGGATTCATACCCAGAGCCTGACTCTGTAGCCTCCGTCCTGACCAGTATATTATATTGGCATATATTATATATGCCAAAGCAGCATATTTGCCATAGTATGTTTTGTATGTATATATGTTTTATATACAAATACATTTATATACAAAACATTATATGTACTGGAGGCATAAACATGTATGTGTTTTAATTTGCAATTAAAATATTTATGAGGGGATCCCTGGGTGGCGCAGCGGATTGGCGCCTGCCTTCGGCCCAGGGCGCGATCCTGGAGACCCAGGATCGAATCCCACGTCGGGCTCCCGGTGCATGGAGCCTGCTTCTCCCTCTGCCTATGTCTCTGCCTCTCTCTCTCTCTCTCTATCATAAATAAATTAAAAAAAATTAAAAAAAATATTTATGAGGACAATTACAGACACTAAAAATGCCAGTGACATAATATTACCTGAAAGGTGACCCATGAAATGTGTGAACACAGTGATATGGAATTTTCTACATACATAACATGCATCTCTAAAGAGGCTATAATCGTGGCATGGATGACAGTGATCTTTTCTCCTTATGTGACAAAGTACAGAAAGTAAGTACCACAAGCCAAGTGGCTGCCCTCATTCACATGCAGTCCACGTGTCCAGACTAGACCAGCTCCCTCTCCTGCCTACATCACCATCCTGGTTCCCTCTCCTGCCTACATCACCACCCTGGTTCTCTCTCCTGCCTACATCACCACCACCACATCATTGTTTGCTTCTCCAACTATGCTATGAATTTATGAGGGAGCTGAAGATCAGAGAGGTGAAGTGTCTTGGCTAAGGCTGCACAGCTAGGAAGAAGCCAAGCAGGGACTTAAACCAAGCTTCTCTAGGTTTGACACTAGTTTTCCTGATCCCTGTTATAGTGGCTATTACCATTCCATCATTCTACTTTCTTCTCTCTCTAGGAATTGAAAGATATTTGGGTCTTTTATTTTTGGAGAGGGAGCATGGGGAGACTGGGGTCAGGGGGTGAAAGGAATCCTAAGCAGGCTTTCCACCTACTGCAGAACCCAATGCAAAGCTCGATATCAAGACCCTAAAATCATGGCATAAGCTGAAATCAAGAGTTAGACACAACCAACTGACCCATCCAGGTGTCCCTGAAAGCCATTTTTTCTTTTTTTTTTTGTTTAAGATTTTATTTATTTGTACATGAGAGACAGAAAGACAGAAAGAGAGAGAGGCAGAGACACAGGCAGAAGGAGAAGCAGGCTCCCCATGGGGAGCCTAATGCAGGACGCCATCCCAGGACCCCAGGATCACAACCTGAGCCAAAGGCGGATGCTCAACCACTGAGCCACCCAGGTGCCCCTGAAAGTTATTTTTTTTCAATATACTTTTTATTTTGGAATAAGTTTGGACCTACAGGAAAGCTGCAAAAGATAGTACAGGTTCTCTATACTCTTCACTCAGGTTGCCTTAATCTTTCATAACCATGGTACATATCAAATTTAAGAAATAACTATTACTATGATTATTAACCAAACTCCAGACTTTATTCATATTTCACCAGTTTTCTCACCAAGATCCTTTTTCTGTTCCAGGATCAAGTCCAAGATACTACAGTTGGTTGAAACTAATTTTTCTTTCATACACTAAAAACCATCAAAACCCACTCTTTAATTCCAGTGGAAAAGACTGCACAAATCTGCCTGTGGTTTCCTAAATGTGCTCAAGGAAATTTTTGCTTTTTCAATGGCCATCCTCAAGAATACACAGTCCAGTCAGCTCTTCCAAGTACAAGGAACAAAGAGTCCCTCAACTTAGCTCAAGGAAGGATTTGGGGAGAGTCCATGGGAGTTCATGGACAGGAGTCAAAGACTCGAGGATGGGAACTGGAAGAGCCATAAGGAATGGGGTCTGTTATTTCTGGTTTGTCTGAGCTTTCTGTCCCCTCTACTCCCCACCTCCCCTTCTTTGCCTCTTCCTGTACCTCTCTTCTAAACCCACTTTCTCAGCTTAATTGTCCTACAAATACCCACATTAGCCATCTTAGCCCACAATCCTCATAACTCAGCATGTATCACCAACTGTAACCTCACTCTGATTAAATCCCAGATCGTATGTTCCAGCCAACTCCTGATTCTCATGGGTGCTAGTCAGTTAATGAACGGTGGTGAAACTTGGGTCTATCTTCCAACCTAATCAACTTTTTAATAAATTTATTACAATGTTCTTTGTTACTGTGGCATAAAAGTCAACTTATGATGCAAGTTATCATTAATCTTTGACAATAGATTTATTAGAATCCATTAAAAAAGACAGAGAACAGGGATCTTCAACATTAAATTTTTAAGTGTTGAGGGTAAACTAGACAAGAATAAAATCTCTAGGGATTTTTAAATATAGCTTTCAGAGACTATCTCAAAGGCTTTTGGACAAACTACATGGAATTCAAACATTTCCCAGAATTTCAGTGGAAACAGAATTTAGCTAATGTCCTAGAAAAGAAAGTACACAGCTAATTCAAATCTGCTAATTAATCTAATAGAACATACAGGCTCTTGATGGCTTTCCCCTTTGGGAGAGGAAAAAATAACCCTTCTTATAAATCAATGTTTCCTTAAACACAAAGACTGAAATTTATGGCAGTTCTTCAGGGATTTTAGGCTTCAAGGAACCAATGAGAAAGTTCTTACTTGAATGTACATACACATCCTGTTCCACCGTTGACACTTTCCACACTTTCTCTCTCTCTCTCTCCCTCTCTCCCTCCTTCATTCCTACCTGATTCAGGGCCTACCGTGTATCTCTTAGGCCTTGATGAAACAGCAGTGAACAATAAGTAATAAAGGGGTTCAGAACATGCCACCTCAAAATAGGCTGCTTTGGCATATTATTTTGAGCTTAAATCACTTGTAAAAACAACAGGTACAAGGAAAGCACTCTGACCTTTCCTTTTCTTCCTGAAAAGGAGAGATGAAACTCCTGACATGAAAGCTGTCCTCTTAATATCAAGAGGAAAAGAACATTTTTATCAAGAAAGATGGGGAGCTGAGGTCGAGGGAAATTTGTATACAATAACTCTTATCTTCTAGTCTCCCCATATATTTTAGTTACTTTTCCACAATTGCCATTCTTTTTTTCAACTTAGTATATAAGCACTTGGGTCTAGATACTTCTTTGGGTCTTTATTTTCCTGTGAAGACTCCTAGGTACATGCAAACATTTATTAAAATGAATGTTGTATGTTCTTCTCCTCCTACTCTGTTAAGACAGTCCCAACCAGAAACTCTAGGAGGATAGAGGAGAAATTTTACCTCCCCTACAGTAGTAAATAAACAAAATAGAATATTATATGTGTAACATGTTGGGGGAAATATAAAGCAAGGGAAGGGCCAGGGAGTGCTGATGAGAGAGACACTGCTACTTTAAATAGAGGGTCAGAGAAGGCTCCTAAGAAAGGGATATTTGAGCATAGCCTGAAGCAGGTGAGGCAGAAAGACTTGAAGATATTTGGGGCAAAAGCAAATGGAAAAGGGTGGGGAGCTTGAGAGCAACAAAGATCAGAACTGGCATTAGTGGGAGATGAGCTGTACAAACTCAGGATCGGATCCTGCCTTTTGTCCAAATTTTTAGATTTTGTGTACCATGGATTTTTTTTTTTTTGCATTAGTTTTGATATCTCATTAAAATGTTATTTATCTTGGGCAGCCCTGGTGGCACAGCGGTTTAGCGCCTCCTGCGGCCCGGGGTGTGATCCTGGAGACCCGGGATTGAGTCCCACGGGCTCCCGGCATGGAGCCTGCTTCTCTCTCTCTGTCTCTGAATGAATAAGTAAATAAATCTTAAAAAAAAAATAAAATGTTATTTATCTTGATTACTGATTTTTTTTTTTTAATTTCAAGGCTGGTGCTTCATGAGCTGCACTCTGGTCCAGGCCCTGGAGTTGATAGAAGGGGTGAGGGGAACCCTGGGGGAGAGTAGTAGGAAATGATGTCAGAGAGAAGGGGAGGTGGGGATTCTGAGGAACTTGGCTTTTACACCTGAGTGGGATGGGAAGTTGCTGCCAAACAAATTACCACAAATCTAGTGGCTTAAAAACCATAAATTTGTATCTTACAGTTCTATAGATCAGAAGCCCCAAACAGTCTCACCAAGATAAAATCAAACCATTGGCAGGGCTGCATTCCTTACCCTGGGAGCTCTGGGGAAGAATCTGTTTCCTCGCTCACTGGGTTTGCTAGCGGAATTCAGTTCCATGCAGTTGTACGACTGAGGTCCCGTGTTCCTCATTGTGGGCTTGTGACCCCTTCCTGCATTTCAAAGCCAGTCGTGAGAGGTCAAGTCCACACAACAAATCTCTCCTCACCTTCTGCTTCCCTCTTCCATTTTTAAAGATCCATGTTAGTAGATTGGGCCCACCTGGCAATCGGGGACCATCCTCCCACCCATACACTAAGCACACCTGCTAAACCCCTCCTGCCACACAAGATAACATACTCACAGGTTCTGGGGATTAGGATGTGGACATCTTTGAAGAACCATCATTGTGCCCACTACGAGGGCTTTGAGCAATGGAGCAATGATCCCTCCAGCTGCTCGGTTGAAAACAGTTGGGGGGTGGGGAGGGGCACAGAGGATCAGAGCAGGAACAGGGAAACTCATAAAGATGCTGAAGCAGCAGTAATTCAGAGGAGAAATACGGTGGCTTTGCCAATGTGATGGCAGGTTTTATGGGTCAACTTGGCTAGCCTACAGTCAGCAGTTACTCAATCAAACACCAATCCCGGTGTTGCTGTGAAGATATTTCGTAGATGTGATTAATGTCCCTGGTGGGTTGACTCTAAGTCAGCAAACTTATCCTAGATTCAGGGGCCTGATTCAATCAGTAAAGAGCTTTCTGAGCAGAACTGAAGGTTCCCCGAGGAGGAACCAAATCTGCCGGTGGACAGCAGCTTCCTCTGATGCCTGGACATTCCTGCTTGCCTTTCCAGAAGGCCCACCCTATGGCCTTCAGATTCTCCTAACTAGCCCCACAATTAGGTAAGCTGGACTCCTTGCAACGGATCTCTGAATACGCCTCTCCAACTGGCTCTGTTTCTCTTGTGGAACCACATACAGGTATAGATAGACTCACTTTTGTAATTTAGATTGTTATTGGGATAGATGCTGATATAGATACTGAAGGAATTTTGAATGTGGACCTGACAGGATATGCTAGTGGACTGGAAGTAGGATGGGAGAAAGAGAGGATCAGAGATGATTCCAAACTTTTCTTCCTTAGCAGCTAGAAGGATGGCTCACTCGTCTCCTTCTAAGATAAGGAATCACTCTACCATGAAAGCCACTCGAAGAGCCCATTCAATTCCCCGACCCAAGGTAGCGCCTTTCAGAAAGAGGATGTGCGCAGGCAGGAACGGGTGGGTGAGCCTGGCCAGCCCTGAGGTAGGCAGGCTCGAATCCAAAGGGGGAAATAGAGGAAAGAAGTCACTGCTGTGCTCACACCACTCATCCAGAAATATTGTGGTTTTCTGTTGCATTTGGGAAGAGCAGGTCTCTTTACTGTTCTCTACTCTGAACCTCACCTCCCCTGCTGGTCTGGGCTCTGTGGGAACCAGTTAGCTAAACCCTGAGCCAAAAACAAGCAAGGAGAGCTGAATAGAGACTTTATGAATAAATGTTGCTCTGTGGGCTTCTTTTTCCCTTGTGAGGGAACAGGGTGTGCTTGAAAGTAAAAAGTGAGTTGGGTTTGTTTGTGTTGTTGTTTTGTTTAATCTTCCCGGAAGGCACAAAAGAAAAAGATAAAAAGGAAAGAACACCATTTATTTGTCGCTTGGTACTGCTCTGGTTAACACAATGGTTGGGTCCCTGACCCTCTCATTGCTAATCATAACCAAAAAAAACCCCAAGCTGGCTCCAAACATGTTTCTGACCAGACATGTCTCTGACCTGGACTTAAGATCTGCCCAGCCGAAACATCATGTGAGTCTCTGAAGAGACTGTGCCAACTGTGAAACCACAACTGCCCCACCATCCCCAAGGGGTTATGGTGGTGGCAGCCTAGGGTGTCTGAATTTAGCCCTATTCTGCCTCTTCCCTGACTTTTTAGAAAGAATCTGTATCTGTTTCTCTGTCTCTCTCTTTATTCTTCAATCTCATATCCCCCTGCTCACTCTGAAGAGAAAGCTGGCCAATGTATTAAATGAAATTGGATCATTTCCTCCTAATAGAACTTTTTAAATACTAGAAATGAAGTTCCTAATGGTCACCAGAGAGAAGTGCTGCTATTTCCAGCACCAGAGTGATAAGAATCGTGCCTGTCAGAATTAAGCGCAGCAGGTGCAACAGGGACATTAAATATGGCTAAAATGTGACTGGGATGCATTTTTCTCTCATGGAAAAGTTCTGATTCAGGGCTGGTAAGAAGGCTCCAGAGCTAAGGCATAGCTAAAGCATGATCTATTACCTTATAGGGTTGTCATACAAATTAAGGTAATTTATTTGATGTCTAGCACATTATAAACTCATTCTTTTGGTTTGATAATGAAATAATAAATAATATTAATTGACTTTATCTACGTCTAGGTCCTGGAAAAGGGCTCTCTGCCTATCAGCTCATTTAATCTTCACAACAGCTCTATGAGGAAGGGACAGTCATTGTCCTAGTTTTATAGATGGGAACACTAAGAGATTAGCTATCTTGATAAAGATTGCCAAATTAGGTAGTTAGTGCAGAGCTATGATTCAAACTCAGCCTGTCTGATTTTTGAGCCCAAAGACCTAACCACCAGGCTATACCACCATCTCCTTACCAAAACCCTTCCACCACCCATCTCCTTCACTACCCTGGCTATAAGACAGTTACAAGGTACCTGGGAAAATAGAGCATGTACAAACAAAGAGCAAATTTATAATATAAGTTAGTGGGGTCTAGGAGTCAATGAGGGCTATAAGTCAGATAGAGAAGTTCCACTTTCCTGGAGTGGCCATGGAAGTTGTCACAGCAGAGAGAGTAGCCAGGTTGGGTTATGAAGGACATACAGGATTTAGAAGAGTGGAGGAGGGCATGCCAGGCATGAGAAATGGGAGTGGAGAAGGCTTGGAGGTGGGAACGGAAATAGCATGATTAAGGGATAACAAGGAAACAATCTTGGCTAAATCATAGGATTCTTACAGAGGAATCCTGAGAGAGCATTTGGAAATGAAGAGTGGAATTAGATTAAGAAGGAATTTGAAGGTCATTCTAAATAGCTGAACTACAGTCAGTGGACATTATTGGGTAGTCACAGGGAATGTGCGTGGCGGCAGGGGCAGGGTTTGAATGGTGAAATTGTGATAGAAGCAGTCTCTTTAGGGATAATGTGGTGATTGTGGGAGGGGTGACTTAGAGACATGGAGCCTGGGACTCCTGTTAAGAGGCTTTTGAAATGATCTAGACATGAGGTAATGAGAACTTGAAATGGAGTGTTAGCACAAGGCATGAATGGAATGGCAGGGATGTGAGAGACACTACTGGTGCAGAATTGAGGGGCTTGGTGACTAGGTCTGGGAGCGAGGGAGCAGGAGGGATCAGGGTTGCCTGCCAAGCTGGAGTGATGGGAGAACACTTGTTAGTGGAAGTTCTGACTCTTCTAGTCAGAGGGGAACTCCATTTGTCATCCATCCTCTGCAAGGTCTCTGTATCCACTGAGCAACTTCACGTACTTAGCGTTTACCAAAGGTACCTGGACCAGATGGCCGTATTCTCTTTCTTCTTTGCTGCCAAGTGTTACTTCCACCAAGGAAGACTCTAAGTCAGAGGGGGGAAAGCATAGACTTTGGGTTAAAAGAGATAGGAATTTAAATTTGCTCTATCCAGCATCAGTATGGTAAGCTTAGGTACATTTCTTAATTTCTCTGAGATTCAGTTCTTTTTAAAATTGGGATGACAGGGATCCCTGGGTGGCACAGCGGTTTAGCGCCTGCCTTCAGCCCAGGGCGTGATCCTGGAGACCCGGGATCGAATCCCACGTCGGGCTCCCGGTGCATGGAGCCTGCTTCTCCCTCTGCCTGTGTCTCTGCCTCTCTCTCTCTCTCTCTCTCTCTCTCTCTCTCTCTCTGTGACTATCATAAATAAATAAAATAAATAAATAAATAAAAATAAAATTGGGATGACAATACCTACTTGATGGGGTGTTGGGGGGATAAGACAATAGAAAGCATTTAGTATTGTGCTTGACACATGGTAGATACTCAGTAATAACGGCTAATGTGTTGAGCTTACTATGGGCACTGTTCTAACTGCTTGACTTACATTCACTGTTCATTCCTCACAACAATCCTATGAGGAGGTACCATTATTACCTCTAACTCTAGGTATGTGGTATGGAGAAGATACAGAACCCACTAAGGTCACAGGGACTATATGAGGCTGAACCAGGGCTTGAACCCAAGCAATCCAGCTTCAGAATATTTTATTTTTCACCACCACCCTTCCCTTAAAAAAGTATTGTTTATGGGGCACCTGGGGGGCTCAGTGGTTGAGTGTCTGCCTTTGGCTCAAGTCGTGATCCCGGGGTCCTGGGATCGAGTCCTGCATCAGTCTCCCTGGAGAGATGTCTCTGCCTCTCTCTGTGTGTCTCTCATGAATAAATAAATAAAGTCTTTTTTTTTAAAGAGCATTGTTTGCAAACACTTAGTGCAAAGCTATTGTTTGTATTAAAGGGATGCAAGAGTCTCAAAAACATTCCCTCTAAGAGGACTATTAAAATACATAGCAAAAACGGCTAGATTACCAATATGAGAGAATGGCTACTGGTCATAGCTTGGAGTTGGTCTCTTAGGGCCCCTTTGGATGCTGGATCTTGGAGAAGGTGAATGAGGGAGAGGTCCCAGGGGAGGTACAGAGTTCAGTGCCTGTGGTAGGTTCTCAGGGGGCAGTGGCTTTAAACAATTTATAGAGATTTCAGTAGCTTAACTTCCAGTATGGCGGTATGAGTGTGTCCCAGCAAAATACCAGAACTGGTTATCTTTTACCAGTGTTCTCTAGTCAACCTATGGACAAAGCACAATGATTTTTAAGGAAATTCCCAGTGTTTAATATTATGTGTTTTATTTATTATTGATACCATGTTTACATTATCTTCAAAAAAAGATTTAAGGTACCTTGTAGTAAAAAAAAAAAAACTCTTTAAAAATAAATTCATTAAAATATGTATAAATAATAAATATTGTGAATGTAAAAGTTTTATACCTGAAAACCTAAACTAAGATGAACTGAGAAATGGAATGAGTTTCCTAGTGTTGATTATGAAAATTGACCTAAATGCTTAGATCCCTGTGCTTAGAATTCAGGTGTGCAGGACCAGCATGGTATTTTGATATGAAGATGAGGAGCCTCAACTTCTATTCTTGCTTAGAAAGAACTCTACATCATATGCTATTCCACTGAATATCCTTTAATCTAAGCAAGACATACCTTACTAGTTATACTTCTTCCAAGAAAAGAGGCAATCACAGCTTTAAAGTGAATGACTGAAGAAAAAATGTGGGGAAGGGTATGCTTGGTACCTCTGCAGAGGAGCTTGTGATTTGCATTTGCTTTTTACTTTAATGGCCTGGCTAAAAGTAAAATGCTGGTCTGGGTGGAGTCTCGAATTATCTTAAATAAGATAATTTGCATGCCACTAATTTTCCTTCATTCCAAGTATAGGACCAGCCAATGATATGCAAACTTCTCTCATCAGAAGAAAAACCAAGAACTCTACAAACACTAGAGAGCATTATGGTGGCTACCAGTCTTCCTGGGGAGGCAGCCACATAAGATGTCTGGATTCTGTCTGGCAGGACCTTCCTAGAATTTAGGAAAGACCCTAAAGTTTGCTATTCTTGTTTGTTGGCTTCAGACTAGACCACCAAAGAATTTCAGAGGACTTGTTTCCAGTAGAGTCCCTGATCGAGAAGATTACAGTTTTCTAAGACTGGAAGTAACAACTTCCAGACCATTTTTAGTATCGATATATGTCCTGATTTTCCCAGATCTCACCACCCAGTGGGTACAGAAG